TGAGAAAAGGACACGCTTCGCCAATGAAGCAGGGTGGTATTCCATGATGAAATGTAGAGTGTTCCACAGAGAGAACAATGGTGTAGTGTCCACTGTGGTGCGGAGGGTTTTTAACGCTCTTACTGGGGTTAACTTCCTGTGTGTGTATGTATGCTACAATTAAGGCATTTCTGTGTAAATGATATATCCTGATTGGATGAACAAATGGATTTAAGGCTGGAGTCTTCATTTCCTCTTGTGGTTATGTTTGAATGGGAAACACCATTCAATAGGGATCGGAAGAACCTTAGTGAACGGTGTTTTCTTGGGAAAGGGTTAGCTGCAGCTGAATATGAGGAATGCTGTTTATGAGAGTTCAAAGCATGGCTTTGATATTGGCTATTTAAGGCATTAAAAATATAATACATTAGTCCGTCCAAGATAGATTAAAATGGGGAATAAAAAAGTGATTCATGACATTCCATATTTTCCGATTTTTTTTCACTTGAATGAAAACTTGTATTGCTACCATAAGAAAAATAACATTGCTGCTATTTCTCTGCTGATTATGTACTTGTTCTACATTAGAACTATAAAATAGTGCTTGAATACCATTCCAGCCATATATTTTTTATCAGTTGCATAAGCTCTCTAAACTTCATTTGAAAAATGTGTTGTAAAAATATGTCTATCTTATTTTTATGATCAAAAGAATAATACATCTAAACTGCTTAACACAGTGTTTGACATATAGTGGTGGCTTAACAAAAGTAGGCCATTGTCAACTGTATATTTTCTTGTTTTAGCTGATTCGTATTTTCTGGTTTCTCTAGATAATTAAGTTGGTTTGTAGAATTGTTATTGGCAGTTGGTTTGTAGAATTGTTATTTTATATGGATTACTTTAGTGAATGCCCAAGAAAAAATTCCTAATTCTTAAGGGAAATATGTAAGAGAGGTTGAGAATTGAATTAACCCTTTCATTGCATTACAGTAGACTAATGCCTAATCAAGGCTTCTCAATCTAGGCACTGTTGACATTTGAGGCCAGATTAATCTTTATTCTGGCAGTGGGGGCTGTTATGTGCATTGTAAGATGTTTAGCAGCATTCCTGGCTGCTAACTAGTAGATGTCAGAAACAATCACTCTCCCTTCTGCCTCCAGTTGCGACAAACAAAAATGTCTCAAATGTCCCCAAGAAGGGGGGGAGCGAAATTATCCCCAGCTGAAAACCTCTGCTTTAAGCCACATATCAGGGCCATGATGATTTCATCAGCTTGAAAACTGGTAACAACAGCCTGTCCCAGTGTTTGCTGACCCTGAAGGTGGAATCTTTTTCATATGCTGCATTTTTGCCCAATAATATGATCATATTTTGTTCTTCAATCCTCTTATTAAACAAATGACTATAAAATAACTTTCCGTGACTAGTGTCAAAATCATCTGCAGGCTTGCTTTTCACAAGAACTCATAACTTAAGTGATCTCAATACTCGGGGTCTTAGATAATCAGGAATGCATTAATCATGTCTTTTACTACATTATTTGCGTTTTTTGGTAATTATAGACTAATGAGCTTGGCCTTTATGTGATATTTTAGTTCACATATACCTTTATAAATATTTCAGCTTTGTGGTAATTAAGTAAATTGAACATTATTAATTAGAATGCAATCAGTGGGTATAGCTAAAAAATATTTCAAAGTAGCATTTTTAATGTCCTGATATTCTTTGAGTAAAATTCTCTGTGGAATTTTTTTCCAAAATTAATTCATAAGTAAGTAAAACTAAGTAGCTTTCTGATAAAAAGTAGCTAAAATCATATGACTATATACGAAGGGCATATTTGCTATACATCTGATTCTGTTATTCTTCATAGAAATGCATAGAAAAAAAGTTGTTGAGTAGAATCATTTTGAAATCATTTCACATATGAAGTAACTTTTGCAAAGCTATAATTTTATCATTTCCTGAAAATCATAAAGACAGCTTTGAAATGTTTAAATTGTAATTTTGACAAAGAAAGCTAAAAGGTGAAACATATTTTTATGAAGAATTAACCAAATTTTTATAAAGATTATGTAATTCTCTTGTAAGTTATTTTTCTAGTGCCTAACGATGTAAAAAATGACTCATCAACTTTGGGGCAGAAAATGTGATTCCTCTTTTTAATAAACTAATAGTTATTGTATGTTTGTTTTTCATTCAAGTATTTGTCAGGCTTTTATGTTCTTTATATTTAAAAAATCACTGCTAAATAAACTACGTTTAAAGCATAAATGAGTGTGGTATAACACATCTATGAAGGGAGATAAACATATATTCAAATGGCAAAATTTAATATTTGCTAAGATTAATGTTGACTTTTGGCTTTGTCTGCTCATATACCACTAACAGTTGCTCCTGAACTTTTCTTAAATTATGTCATGAATCAGAATTATTATATGAGCCAGTTCAGGGTTCTGAAATATTAAGTTAACAGAAGTTACAGTGCAGAATATTAAATTTGAAGTTCCAAACTTTCATATAATTCATTTGGCTTTCATTAAAACATTCATAATTGCTTAACTATTTATGTCTACTTTTGATTAGATATTGGACTTTTTAATTACATTTAAAAATGCGCTGTGATTTTACTGACAAAAGCATTTTTTTTTCAATTTTTGAAGCATTGAATAATGAAAAATAATGATACCATTGAAAGTGTTTTGTTCTCTTGAAAGGACCAATATGCTACTATAAACATGTTCAAAGTCCTTAATAATTTTTAATCATCTGTCACAAGGCTAGTTAAGAATTTCAACTGTCCATTAAGGAGTTACTTGACAAGAAAAAATAAAAATATTGTAGAGACATGAGTAATCTGATTAGCTATTGGGTGCATTCAGTGCTTCTTGATATCAGCTGAAGCTGAATTAAATTAGTCACTGGTGCATTTGTCGATTGGAGCCAGAAAGTCTCCCCTATTTAATTTTAAAATCATTTTCTCTGAGTAAATTATGGCAGTAACCACTAAAGAAGTCATATTACTTTAGTTAGGAAGATCTATTTCTTTTAGAGTAGGAAGATAATTATTGACTCTTAAAAGATGGAGCACACAAAGGCTCAAAAAAAAGAGAGAGAGAAAAATTTACCAAGAAAAAGGAAACCAAAAAAAAAAAAAAAAAAAAAAAAAAAGAGAAGGGGTTGCAAGCCTAATCTCTAGTAAAACAGATTTTAAATCAACAAAGATCAAAAAAGACAAAGAAGGGCATTACATAATGGTAAAAAGATCAACACAACAAGAAGAGTTACTATCCTAAATATATATGCACCCAATACAGGAGCACCCAGATTCATAAAACAAGTTCTTAGAGACCTACAAAGAGACTTAGACTCCCACACAATAATAGTAGGAGATTTTAACACCCCACTGTCAATCTTAGACAGATCGAGACAGAAAATTCATAAGGATATTCAGGACTTGAACTCAGCTCTGGACCAAGCAGACCTAATAGACATCTATCTATAGAACTCTCCATCCCAAATCAACAGAATATAAATTCTTCTCAGCAACACATCACACTTATTCTAAAATTGACCACATAACGGGGAGTATAATTTTTAATCATGTCAAATATGCAGTTATAAAATATTATCTTAGAAATAAATGAAAGATACTTAGACTTAAAATTCTACCAGGAGTAATGTTTACAAAAAAATATCAAGCCAAACACAACTAAAACTAAACTAAGAAGTTAGCAAACAAATGAAAATCTTATGTGTCATAATATTTTTAATTCTTTAAGAGTATTCAGCTTTTACTAGAATTTACCGAGCCTGGTTCATGATAGCCACTACATGGGGAAAAACTGGCTGTTTGGTTCTTAAAACTCTGGAAATTAGGTATCATTACCCCAGATTTTTTAATGGGAAAATTGAGGCTAAAAACATTTGAGCAACTACCCCTAAATTTCACTTTTAGAAGATGGTACACAGAAAATTTAGATTCAGGCACTCCTCTCTTCTAGACCACTTATTTATCCTTTTCCATTACATGTGTGGTGGAATCAGAAATGCACTGTCATCACCGTCTTAATTGTTTTCAATCCTGTCATCATACAAGCACCACAGGAGAGAAGAGAGGCATGCTATACAGTTTTTTGTAAAACAAGTGAAATAAAGTCTGGGGCTTGTAGAAACGTTCTTAGGTGACAATATCTTATTACAAATGCACATTAATTCCAATGTAAGACCTATGGGAAGTTCACTCTAAAAACCATTTGCACACAAGGATTAGAGAGACACTAAGCACATCATCACACCAAAAGTACATGTGAAATATATATGCACACAGAGTATATTATATAAAGGCTACATAAATATTTGGTTTATTTTGTATGTAAATATGTATGTTTGTTCTCTATGTGTATGAATGTGTGTTTGAGATATAGTGCTATGTTTGTGGAAAACCACAAAAAACTATAGAACTATTTGACGAACACATCAATTTACAAATATATATTTTATAATTCTTTGCCTAAGGTGATATAAGATGGGCCATTTGATGCTGTGTAAGCCACTGGCTAAAGACTGATGCATAGAGTCTCTGTAGCCAAAACTTAGAGTTCAATAAGTAAGAGAAGACATGCTTACTTAAGTAACCAAAACCGAGATTACATTTAAGAAGCTCAAGAGATGTACTGTCAAACTCTATGTAATGCCTCTCTCCATTTGATTCTAAAATTTTCTATTCATGTCATGTAGTAGATCTGGCGAACTAAGAAGGACTTTTAAAACTACTATATTTCTCAGTGATTGTTCACTAAAATGATACCAAGGCAACTGCATTTCTGCCTTCTTTATGGAGCAGTGATACACTACGTAAGTGTGTAAAACTGCACTTTAGTATTGGAGATGTATTACCTCATGGAAAAATCTCCAAATTATATGCATAAAAATTATCTTTCTTTCTAAAAATTTCTTGAGTTTCTGCTGATATAACTAAAGCATTTGAATTACTTTCTTTTCTCTTTTTATACAGTGCAAACTAGAATATCAGGCATGTGTCTTAGGAAAACAGATCTCAGTCAAATGTGAAGGACATTGCCCATGTCCTTCAGATAAGCCCACCAGTACAAGCAGAAATGTTAAGAGAGGTAAGTGACAAAAATATATTTATAATTTTACATTCATCCCTCTCTACTAAAATGTTTTGCAATAAATGTTGTCATTAAATACACAATGAAGTTTGTTTTTATACAAATGCCTAATGTCATTTATATTTTTATTGAAGATATTTTCCTGTTAGCCTCAACTATTATAGCAAAAAATGATTTTCCTTAGATTTCTATTTATTTTGATAGTAATAACTAGACACTTCTTTCCTATGTGCTCATCATATAGAAGAAATCTAAACCAATGCATTCTGTAAATAGTTGTGTCTAAAACGTGTTTTAGATCTATATTTTTCTTTTAGAGCAGCAAACTGATTATTGATAAAGTAGTAATTAAGTTGTTTGATCAGATCTGCAACTGCTCAATTAATACTAACCATTTTAAACAAAGATGTCTGCCCCATGTATACAGTTTGTGTTTCATAATTTCCTGTGTAATAATTTTATAAGTTAAACTTTTTTTAACCAGATGAAGTCTTTAATCATTGTTTTCATTAGTTTACTATCTAATAAAAATAAAATGCATTTAACCAGATATGTACTATAATATATAACCTGACTTTTCTTAAGATTATTTATTATAGTGTACATGGTATCATTATTATATTTGAAATATTGTTTATTCCCTTTTGAAAAGTCTCCGTGGCTGCTAGCTCCAGTCCTTAGCACCTCTAGATAAAGAAGGAAGTGTGGAGAATAGATACATCTTTAAGTGAAAAGATATTTTAGAACATTAGAGTACTGTCTTCAACAGTTATCATATAATTTATTACTATTGAACTCCCCTAATAATTATTATTGGGTGCCCTTATTAATGTGGATAAGTAATTTTTCCCCTTTTTTCTTAAAAATGTGAAGAATGGATATTCAAATAGTAAAAATGTATTGAGTATGAAATTTCTTTAATATAAACTTATGTATTTCGTTGAGCATGATGTACTTGTTATTCCATATTACAATACCATATAAATATTTTATTACAGATATAACTTCCAAACCTCAGTTGTGCCACTTGTATTGGTCTTAACTCATTAAATAATATTTAAGATGAAAAAACAAAATGAAACTAAATGTTATAGCATTGCCTTTAAGAGAGACTAATTTTATTATTCAGAAATAAATTAGTTGATTTGAAAATTAATGGTAAATTGGTGTTCAATCATTAGATCATGTGAAGAATGACAACAGTTGGTAGAAGAGAGATGCCATGCTGCCTTCTAGGAGCCCTGTTCTTTTTTTTTTTTCATAAGTTATTGGGGTACAGGTAGTATTTGGCTGCATGAGTAAGTTCTTTAGCGGTAGTTTGTGAGATCCTGGTGCACCCATCACCGGAGCAGTATACACTGCACCATGTATGTTGCCCAGGAGCCCTGTTCTTTAAGCCTCAACCTTGCTGACTCACCCCGGTCTAAGTTTGACCACCCAGTGTGGATCCTTCTGTAGTCCTCAGCCCTCATCTCCTCCAATCCACTGTTTTCAACATGGCACAAATAAAGACTTTCAGAACCAACTTGAATATACTAATTAGCTCCCAGATAATCCAAAAGCTAATTGTGGTTTTCTTTTAACTGAAATTCTTTTATGTTTGTGCCTTCCTTATTCCCACTCCTGATGGAGTACATTTTCACAATTAAATTGAAGACACAATTGACCACATTTATCTTTGAAAATCACTTCAGGTGAGAAACAAGTCCTACCAGGTTCACTATCCATGAGCCAATGTTTTCACTGAAGGCTATTAAGAACAACATTTGAAATGTGGTCATAGTAAGTGTATATCTCTAATGTATCACACAGCCTTTCAATGAGATTTTACTTCAATGAGGTTTCCTGCATTTAGACTTATTTTTGAATGAAAAGGTATTTTTGATGTAGTATTAATTTATGATAATCAACCACAAGCTGCAAAAGGAACTCTATGTGCATTAAAGATGGAAGGTAGTACATCTGAAAAGAGGATCTCTTGTGAATAAGCAATAATTATTTTTCACATTACTCAAATTTTCTGTATAGTGTGTATATTAATATATCAAGAAGCAAACTCTTAAAAGTCATATCATCAAGGGATAAGGATCATTTGTGTTCAATTATGCGTAGAAAGAGAGGCAAGAAGAATTTAAACTAATGCTCTGACAAATTGTCAGGGCAACGCAAGTATAGGATTTTGCTACCTGCTATGGAAAAACAGAGTCAATTTTGAGTGTCATTTCTACACAGTGCCAAAGGCTGAGAGACAGGGGAAATATGAAACCAAGTTTAGTATCATTTCTAATCTTTCAACTGTCATTTACATTAGAAGCATGCCTTAGGTAGACTGTACGGTGCAGGAAATTCTATTTAATATCATCTCTGTTCTAGAAAACGTGAGGAATAAACTACCAGCAATGAGATATTTCTTAAATCTTTCTGACTTCCTATATTTGAGGTCAAATTGGCACCATAATATGTTTTCCTATGTTAAGACCAGAATCTTTAATTCTACTTGAAATGCATTAAAACTAATAAATGTAGGTTTTCTTCATAAAGTATGAATAAAGTTTTCCTCTATTTCTCTAATGTACTTATTAACAAATGTGCATAAATTGGTCCAAATACATACATTCAAGTATTTTAAATAAATAAAAACACATACATTCCATGATTTAAACTCTAGATTCTGACTTTACATAAATAGATAATCATACACCCTTCAATTAGTAATGTAACTATACACTTTTCTCCTTTTCTAACTCATACATTTAGTATTACAAAGGCCAGTTCTTTGGGGTTCTTTAATGGATTCCTTCCATTTCTTCCATCTTTTTTTGTTAATTTGTTTTTCAATTGCAAATAAAAAAGTATTATTTGTAAAGTAAGTCAAATTCATTCAAAGAATATTGATATTTCTGATGATTTTTAGAGGCCTCTAATATTTTTATGGCTAGTAATATATGAGGTTCATAATTGTGAGCATGGTCTATGAATAGACCATCTTCCATAGATTTTATGTGTGTGTGTGTGTGTGTGTGTGTATAATGCAACCATAAGAATTAGAAAGGACATGCAAAACAAAAGTTCACTGAAAAATAGCATCAAAAAATATTGTAGAAAGCATTTATTTTTCAGTAGGATTTTTCTACCCTAGACAAATCTTAAGTTGTCTACACAGCAGTGGTACATAAGCACGGTAAACTTTAGACATATGACATATCTAAAGTGCTCCATTTGGTTATTAATTTCACTGGTTAGAATCAAAAGATCATTTTAATTGATATTTTCTGTTTGTCTCAAATTTGGGTATTCCAAAGTTCAAACTACTTTTCTTATGATTATGGGTTTTATGGTTTTATATATCTAAACTCTTAAAATTTAATTCATTTCAAGTTATGTCAGTTTGAATATTTTAACCCCAACAAGCATCTAAACACATACTCTTTATGCATCTTGATAGTTTGAATTGTTGAGTTTCAGTGAAGCCTGAATAGAGAAGGAAAATAACCTATTTTAAAAAGTAACAGGTGAAGCTGGGTAAAAGTGAAGGAAGTAGAAAAGGAACATGAAACCCTAAAGGCCTTGGGCACCTTCAAGAAAACTATCCCTTTGCTCTAGGATACAGAATACTTTCGAAGAGGATATAGTGCAAATCGGTCATCGCCAGCCATGAAAGCTTTGGAATTAATTTATCTCAGTCAGACATATGAAAATGTTTATGTTCTTGAGCAAAGAGTTAACATTTCCAAAACTGTTTTTCTAAGTTTTACTTGAAAAAAGTTAACAGTTTCTAGTAAATCTTAAAGAAACTTATTATGTTACTGAGACAATTTTTTGTTTGTTTGTTTGAAGTTGGGGTGGGTGGTTATTTTAGAAATAAGGCAACCAAGTCCCAACCAGGATAGTAGATGAATAAATAACGGGAGAAATTGATTTGGAGTAATATTGCTGAGATGAAATTCACAAGGCTTTAAATCTAATTGGATATGATGGACAAGGAAAATGAATCCCTCTAAGATAATTCTGAATTTAGTAATCTGGGTGATTTATGAAATGCTAACCAAAAGGACTAGCTTATTTTTCTGGGCCCTTGGTTCATAATTCCTACTAATCCTCATCTGCATTTAAAAAAATGCAACTAGAGGTTTCTTTTATTGGGAGCTGCGAATCATGTAACTTATCAAATTTTTCTTTTTACCTTGTTCATGTAACTCTGTTATCCTATATACTAGACTTTAATCCTAAGTGTGTATGTGCGTGTGCACGTCTGTGTGTGTGTTTAACCAGTTTATGGAATTTCTTTCTGGTTTATGAATTGTTATCCTGTGGAGTAGCCTAATTTATTCATTAAGGGTATAAATTTTAGAATTCCAGTCCTTCACTGCTGTGTGGTTTTAGCTATATAATTAAGTTTATGAGTCTCGTTTCTTCATCTGTAAAATATAAATTATATGAATCATTGGGATTTATGGATATATTTCCTCAAATTTAACCATCTTTGCGTTTATATTTCATTTCAACAGATTATACCTGTAAAATGCTGTTGAATCCTAGTAAATTACATGACTTTTTCATATATTAAATGCCATTTGTAATTTTATTTGTGGTGCTTTTAACATCATATTGGGTGACAAAAATTGAAGAGATTTAATTTTTTCTATAGTTAATAGTATGTATTTGCATATTTTTTTAAATATCTCTACATTGAGAGCTTGAAACAACTCATCAGTAAAAAATTCTTTAGCCTGAAAGTTATTATTGGTCATTTTCTTTGACAAGTCTTTCACATTCTTCTATAGCTACTGGCCATTGCAACATATATTTACAGATACAGAGAGAAGGATATGTAGAGATAAATGTAGTTATATACTGCTTCTTGATACAATTATTAGGCTTAAATGGACATTATATTATTTTGTAATTAAAAACAGTTTTTCTAGGTGATCAAAGTCATCAGGAAAGATAATAGTGAACTACCATCTGGACACATTTGTTAATGACTGTACTTCCAT